TGAATTTTGCATACACAGCCTGCTTCTAAAGGAGTGATTGATGTTCAGTAGGACAGGCACTCATGAAGCATACCCTTGGGAAGCCGGTAGGCTACCCTCTGTTGCTAGGTGGGCCCTTCACACTCATTTAAGCTAAAGGGGAGGCCAGCACAGCCCTGGTGAACCTGACTTTTTGTTTGATGAGGCCTGGATGTGACATAAATGGAACACTCAGTTGCTTGAACTCAGAGTGTCCCCCAGCAGTTAAAGCTCCAGACCACACCGCCCGTGGCACGCTAGCCCAGCAGCAGGGAAGCCAGGACTTGGGCTGTGGGAAGGAGTACCTCTCTTACGGCCCATCAAAGGGCCAGTAGCAGTCTTTGGTTTGGGTATGATACTGGATGTGGTAAAAAACACCTGCTGGCTCCTCTTCTACCAGCAAGAATTGTACCTCTCATAAAATAACAAATCATATGTCATTTACAGACATCTTTCATCCCTAATCCTTTCTAACCTCTTGGTAAACAGTGGTGTCTCTTAAAATGTATGTTTAAAATCAGGAGAACAAGTCAAGTAGTGCATAGAGACTTTTTGGTACCGCTATGTTTTTAAAATAGTGGCAATTTTGAGTTTTAATTCACTGTGATTACATTTTACATCACGATATTGGTTCTTTTTAGAGAGGTAATATCAATTGCCTATTCCAAAAAATCAGTATTCTAGAGTATTTCTTTGGATGAATATTTGATCATTTTAATTTTGATTCCAGTATTATTCTCATGAGATATGGGGACAGAGTCATAACATTTATTAAAATGTTTATTGCAGAGAAAAAGGGAAGGTTTGCAGTATGTTGGGAGAGGGTATCTTTGACCATAAAAATGAAATTTCACTGCCAATCACTTTTATGAAAGATTGAAAAAAAAAAGCTAGAATTTAACAGATGCCAGATGGAAGGATTTATGATCTAGACCTCACCTCGTGCTTTATGGCTTATGGAATTAAAAAGCAAAATATTTTAAAGGACATTTCAGCTGAAATAGATAATATTCTTATAATAATTTCCTCATATTAAGGAAAGAATTATTATTTGGAAATCATACCACTTTATTATTCAGCTTTGTTTGGAATAGACAATTATTTAAATAAAACATAACTAAGTTTTTAAAAAATTAAAGACAATTGGAATGAACAGTACTTATTCCTCCAATAGAAATTGTTGTTTGTTTTAATTAAGACACTTGGCAAAAAAGGGAGGGGGAGAGATTTTTGGCACCACTCCGAGATATCTTTGGCATTCGTACAAGGATGTTTCTCATCAAAGGGTGAGGCTTCCCTGAAGTCTTCTGTTCTAGTGCCACAGAGGAGTCTTTTGTGATGTCCTAGAGGTTAAAAATACAGAGAACGCATTCCAATTAAAAGATAGTCAGATTAAACAAAAACAAGTTGCAACTGTATCTACAAGAAACTTTACATAGACAGGTTAGAAATAAAAGGATGGAAAAAAAGATACACCATGCTAACACTAACCAAGCACTGACTAACCATATTAGTATTAGAGAAGTAGACTTTAAAACAAGGAATATTGCCAGGGATGAAGAGAGACATTACATAATGATAAAAGGTCAATTAACCTAAAAGCTGCAACCATCCTACTTATGAGTGTACTTAACAACAGGACTTCAAAGGACCTAGAGCAAAACCTCATAAAGTTAAGAAGAGAAATAGACAAACCCAGTATAACAGAGAGTTCAGTAGTCCTGTCACAGAAAAATGCTGAACAGACCAATGGAAGCTTGGTAAGAATAGAAGACCTGAACAGCACCGCCATTTACCTGGTAAGTATTTATGGAACAGTTCCCCTCAATAATGGCAGAATACACATTCTTCTCATGTGTTCTTGAGACTGTCATCAAGAAAAAACCGTATTCTGGGCCATGAATTAAACCTTAATAAACTTAATATAATTGATATCATACAAAGTATATGTTCTAACCATAAAGAAATTAAACTAGTAATCAGTAATGGAAAGATGCCTGGAAAACCCCTAGTATTCGGAAGCTAAGCGGATACTTCTAAAGAAACCAGAGGTTAGCAACGACAACAAAAAACCCCACAGAATTGAGTTATTCCCTTTTGAAATGAATGAAATGTTCAACTCTTATTCAATTTTGAACTGAATGAAAATAAAAACACAATATGTCTTAAGTTTGCAGAATGCAGCCAAAGTAGTGCTTAGAGAGAAATGTGTAGCATCAAATACTTACATTCCACAAGAAGAACGGTCTTCTCAAATCGATTAAGTTTCCACCATAAGAAACTGGAAAAAAAAAACAGCAAATTAAGCCAAAAGCAAGCAGAAGGGAGAAAATAATGAAATAGAAATCATAAAAGCAATGAAAAAAGGAATGTGCTGAAAAGCTGATTCATTGAAAGGACTGATAAAATTGATACATCTCTAGCCTGACTGACCAAGCAAAAAGGAAAAAAGACAGATTACTAGTATCAGGGGTAAAAGAGAGGAGATTGCTGTAGGCAATAAAAGGATGATATGGGAGTATTATGGACAACCTTATATCCATACATTTTTTTTTTTACAACTTAAAGGAGATGGAGAAATACCTCGAAAGACATAAATTACCGAAGCTCCTTCAAGAAATGGGTAATCAGAATAGCCCTATGTTAACTGAAGAAATTGAATCCAGAGTTAAAAACCTTTTTTACTAAAGAAAACTCTGGGCACAGGCAGTTTCACTGGAGAACTCTGCCAAACATTTAAGGAATAAAAAATTGCCAGTCTGCACAAGCTTGTTCTGAAAGTAGAAGAGGCGGGAACACTCCCAGCTCGTGAGGCGCCTCAGTGTCCACATTACAAGAAACGAAAACTGTAGGTGAATGTTCCTCAAGAACAGACATTAAAAATCCTCGACAAAAGGTCATTCTCATCTGAATTTTTTTCTACTAATACTTAATCCTAATTAAAAAAAAAACCAGTATTTTGACTATAGCACCAAATACTAGAATCTTAACAGTCAGAATACGACAAATCATAATCCTTATTCAGATGAATTTCAATCCGTGACAAATCACTAGTAACTACAGGAGACTCTAACTAGGAAATTGTGAACCTATTTAAGACGTATTTCTGCCTGTCACCTGGTGGTATATAAGCCGGAAGGTCCAACACAAGCCTTGTTAGCTTATAAGGAGGTGGTGGAATTGGCTCTCTTCTGCTGATCCTCTTGCTGGATACGCTAAATCTGGCCCTGTTCTTCAGGGTGTTTGTAGCCCTCGGCTTGCATCTGAGAGCTTTATTCTTACTTATTAGAAATGGTACTGGCAAAAGACAAAGTCCGTTCCTCCGAAATTTGAACATTCCAAGATGTGAGCTGTAGAAACTGGAGGAAGAAATGATCGCCCAGGGACTCAGGTACTACAGGGGTGACTCAGCTCAGTCTGTTTATTTATTACTTATGTCTTTCGAGGCCATGCAGACACTTTAGAGGTCCCTTGCGAGTCATCAGGCCTCATTTCTTAGAGTCTGTGATGAATTAGATGTTTAGTTCGGGGATGGTTGGTTCTTTTGGAGTCTTCCTGGCTCCTTATGTTCAGGAAGGTGAAGGGTTCTCTCTTAATTGAAACATCATAATTAACAAGCGACTGTGGACCGTATATTGTATTTACAGGTGGTGCATTCCGTGGTGGGCAGACAACTGGGAGGCCCTGGGGTCAGATACCGCCCCCCAGGCCCCGTCCTCACAGAATCCCACTTCTGCCCCTTAAGCTGTGTGTGTAGGTTGTGAGTCTGGAGGAGCCTGGCCTCCTAAGGAGCCAAGAGACCAGGGTGTCTGCAGCACAGCAAGGGAGGGGGGCCAGGGCTGTGTGACTGAGGGTTTGACGGACCACATGAAGGATTTTGGATTTCATGCTCAGGGCAGCCACTGAAGGGTTTAAATGGGCGCAATGATGTCACTGGTGGGTCGTTTTCGCCCAGTGCTTCTGGCCTTGGTCAGGAGAGTGAATGAGAAGAAGGGGAGAGGGCAAGATGTCCATAGGGAGGCCTCTGAGGAGGCTACTGCTGTTCAAATACTGAGCCTCACCCCCCTCCATCATTTTAAGTCATTCTCAGATGGGGGCCTGTTTACCTCCAGGGTGCAAAGTGGGCCTCTCCTCATAACTAGACTTATGCTAAGTCTCTTAGAGCTGTATGTTCCAGACCCTTCCACTCAGGTCCATGCCGCTCACACAAGGGGAGAATGTGGCTCTGCCATTACCACCCCCTTCCACTGGGGGTGGCATTGAAGCTCAGGGTTGCTGGCCATGAACGTGGTATGGCTTTGAACTCTAGTGTTCTAAGTATTTTAAATAATTTTGCATTCCACTTCATCATATCAGAGCGGGGCTCTGCCATCTTCCTTGCTCCTGGCCAGGACCCCTCCTTGAACCCATCTCACATGAGTGAGAACCCAGGTGCAGGCAGAGCTAAGGTGGGGCTCCTGCTGAAAGGGCCGTCACCACGGGAGCCAGTCAGCCCTTAGAGCCACCGTGCTGCTCCTGGGTCTGTCGAGGTGAGCCTCAGATCCCAGGGAAAGGAGGCAACTCAAGATGTCTGAGCCCAACTGCAGAAAGCATGGTGGTGCCGGGGCTGGGAGCAGGGAAGGAGAGAGGCAGAAGGACCACTTCCGTCTTGGCTGCATTAATTTTCTGGATATAATTGGCGATTGAGTACAGTAGTCTAGGAACAGCTGGACTGGAGAGAGGGAGGGCGAGGGCTAAGGGTTCAGACCTGGGCACCTTTCCCACGACTCACACCTCCCCTCCACCCGCCTCCTGTAACAGCCCAGACAATTCTTTACCGTGTTGGGGGTGAGGTCTGTATCCTAAATGAATTTCTTTTGCATACTTTTCCAGTGGAAATTCTAGCATCGTTGTGGAACTCTAGAATAAAAGCATCCTCTCTGTGTTTTTACCATCTGTTGCGTCAGTTTGATTAATTTTCTGTGTTGTATTCTTTCTTTCAGAAAAACTGTACAACTCCAGTGGACGAGATTTAAGAAGGGCCCTTTTCTCCCTGAAGCAGATATTTCAGGTAAAAAAGAAAAAAGTTCTCTCAGGTCTTGTTTTTGTATGGCTTGTGGGATTAGATGCAGACAAGGTTCTACCTTTTACTGATTACAAAAATGAAAAGTCTCTTCAGGGTACAATGTAAATTTGGCCAAAATATCAGTTATGTATTTTTACCATATGGAATATTTCAAGCAAAATGAGAAGTAAAGGAAACTATCAAATCACAGTATTTTCCCATATTGACTAAAGATTTAAAAAAATACCTGCTGTAGATACAATTGAAGTCTTGTGTTCGCCTCTTCAATACTAAACGCCCTCTTCCCACCCCACCCTGGGCCCCCTCAGTGTCCTGTGTCGTGTTTATCATGCAAATGCCCGTTTCCATACTCGTGGTGAATATTCACCAACCACATGCGATGTTCCTCTCTGTTAACTTTGCATGCATGTTATCATGCTGTGTGTATCCTGTTTCAGCTTCCTTAGTGAGAGCAGAATAGGTGTGGACGCTACCCAGGTAGCTCTGAGTGAAGATCCCATTGTATGAAGAAACCACAAGTTGCCTTGTTCATTCTTCTGTTGGCGGACAGCTGGGTTCATTTCCAGGGTTCTGCTGCCATGGACCGCGCCGCAGGGACGCGCCCCCGTGTGCCCGTGTGCGCGCATCCCTGTCGGGTTCTACCTTCTCCTCCTCTCCTAAGCCTTCCCTCTGCTTCTCCCCTGGGAGAGTCACAAGCTTAGTGCAGAGGATGAGGACAGGTGTGCAGGCAGATTCCATGACTGTTACCCACAAGAGACTGCAAAAGAACGAGCTGGGGGTGGAGGGTGAGCTCGTCTTGCCTGGGCAGGGTCAGGAGAGGCGGGACGCGACTCCATGGAGAAGATGGATTTGCATTGAGCTCGCGTCTATGTGGATAGATGCATCATTCTTCTATTATGATTTTAGACTCTAGCGTGTATACCGTTTCTCTTCAGTTCCCATCTCCTTCACATTCTTAAGACTTTCCTTGTCGGTGATAGTTGTAGCCAGTGGCAATTCCTTTCCTGGGTGTTTTCCTGTCTGAAGGGGTTGGCAGAAAGTCAGGCCAACAATCCATCCCACCTGCACGTTCTTGTCCCATTTTTAAACATGTTCACCCATGCCCTCATCCTTTTCCCAGGGCAGAGCCCTTCTCTTTGACATTTCTAGAGATGAGTCCTTCTTTCTCATCTTCTGACAGCTACAGGTGTGAACCTGAGTCACCACTGCACCCTCATGTTGCACGTCTCAGAAGTGCCTTGGGGTCTGGGGTCTGCCTTGGTTTGTGCCATTTCTTCTGGAAAAATTGTAACTGCCATCATGGGCAACACCTGCTTTTGGTCCCCCCCAACTCAATCCCTGCATTAGCTTCTTGGGGTTGATGAGGTCCTTCTTTTGCTGGTTCCGCATCGCCTTCTGGGTTACATCTGAATCTCTCAGTGTAATGCTGAGGTCCTTCTGGATCTGGCCTCTGCTGCCCACCTCTCCATCCTTGGCTGCACCAAAGTCTCACCTGTGATTAAGTTCTGGGGCCAAGCTGTGCCCTTTCTCTTCTGCATCTTTGCCCCTGGACCTATTGCTTCTTTGCCAGGATACGTTGCCACCCCCGATCCACTCTCCATGTCTCTTAGTTGCCCACCTGGGATCTTTTCCTGCCAGGGATGCTCTCCCTAAATGAGCCCTCACTGCAGTCAGGAGATCTCCAGATGCCTCTAAAGCTCTCTGTGCTCATCTCTGGGATAGAACTTAGGACACTACAGGGTACTTGTCTGAGTCCGGACACCTGTGAGCTCCCTAGGTTTCATCACTGAGTCTTTGGGGCCTCAGACAGTGTCTGCGTAAGCAGTAGATGAACAGGCTGGGTGAACTGCATACTCCTGTAGCAAATGTCGGTCTTCAATCTTTCCTGTCTCTAATTTAGTAAATACTTCACTAGCTACTTGTCCCAGAGTTTCACTTCCCATGTATCGCTCTGTGTCTCCCTGCTTTTAGCTGAGCCAAACTTCTTCACCCTCCACGATGTCCTCCTCTCGAACTCAGATCCCTGATGGCAGTAGGGCTGGACCCTTACTCCACCGCTCCTCACCCTAACTCATTTGTGTAGTCCCTCAGCCCACCTGCTGTTCCTGTTGTTCAGCTTCGGCTTCTTTCAAAACCTGTGTTCACCTCATTGAGTAGCCAGTTGAACCACACAGAGAAGAGAGATCCCAAGTGACTTTAAAACACTGCGATTGGTGTGCCCTGGGGAGGATATACTCTGAGAACAAAAAGAACCACACACACACGAAGATCCACTGTTTTAAAACAATCCTATTGCTGGTGGTGGTGTTGATATTGCTATTCTGATACTGTTGTGTGTGTGTGTGTGTTCTTATTTTGTCATTCTGAGAGTTCTTAAGGGTTAGGATTCTTGGTGTATGGAAGGAAGCTGATGAAAGGTAGAACAATTGAGTCAAAAACTCTGGGTTCTTGAATTTAATCAGAAGTATCAGAATGAACCCATGGTGTTTATTATCTTAACAAACTTGCAAAAAAAAAAGGTATTTCTAGCTCTAAGTTTATTGAACGGGACTAGCAGCAATGATCAAGCCACGAGCAAAAGGCACCACTAGCACTGAGATTGTGGTCTTAAAGTACAGAAAGGAACCAGCGCTCCTTGGAGAAATAGCTGATTCCAAGTCTGGCATGGGAGACGGGTAAAATAAACTTGGAACATCTTATCCTATCGATAGCAAGGAAGCTATCAAATACTACTAGGATTCTTGCCAAAGGAAGTCAGGAGCACGTTGAAGGGTCTCCCACTGGCTGGCTAAAGATGGACAATGTGAGCATCAACAAGGGTGTTAGTTACGATGGATCTGCATTGATGAGTTCATCATGACGCTAAAGAGTAACAATGATTGGTCGCCCTTGGAAGGAGATGCTGGTGAACCAGCTCTTTATTTTGAAACATAGATGAAGTTTTAGAATCATTAACTTATCTGACCTTTTCCTATTTGGACTTTAGGATAATCAAGCCATTGTGGAGGGGAAGTTTTGCTTATAAAAATATTCTAGCTAAGAAGTAAGAAGGAATGATAGAGTTAGAATATCCATTAGAATGTTAGAATTTTGCAACCCTGAATAAGTTAAGCAATCTAGGTATTAAGCATCAAGACCTGCTGACGTGATGGAAATAAAATATAACCAAATATTACATTGCTTCCTCATGGAAACTCATACTGCCGTGGAGGACGTGATCAAGCCAACAAAATCAGCCCTGGATCTGATCATGCCTCTTACATGCAGTAACCAATTTATAAATGATCTAGGACCAAGGCACA